AACTTATAAAATAGGACTAGAAACGAGGCTTTTTGGTTGTAAAAAAAAAAAAAAAAAAAAAAAAATCAAAAATAAACCAGGCTACATAACACATTGCACATTTAGTAGCTGCACCAAAAACACCAAAAAAAGCTCCTGTCATACAGTGGCCGAGAGGGAGGCTGGGGGTGGTGGTGCGAGGGGGGTTTGGTCCTGGGTCGCCGACCAGAAGACATGACATGATGTCTCTCTTTCTGGTTTGAACCCAATGGCTCCAAAGCTTTGGAGACCCCCTCCTCCTCTCTCCTCTAAGTCTGGGTGCCAGACAGACAGAGAGGCAGGAACTTCCTCCCTGCCTCATCCTCAACGCTGCCACCAGGGAAACACGAGTGGAAACATTTCCCACAGAAACCCATTCAGTCCACAGCAACATTGGTGCCAGAGCCCCGCTCTCTCCATCCATCCATCCATTCATCCACCTCTTCTCCACAACAAAGCAAAATCCTCGCTTCCCTTCTCTTTCCACCGGGGCTCAGCGTCCAATCTCAGACATTCACAGTGCACACATGCTCACCTCAGACAGTTTTTCAAAGTACCAGTGTATCTGCTGTCTGGGAGATGTCCCCAAAACATCATGCACCATACATACAAATTATTCACTCACTTTTTGTGTGTGTCTTTTGTGTTGTTGTTTTTTTTTTTTTTTTTTTTTTTTTTCTTTTTTTGTTGTTTTTTTTGTGTCTTTTTTTGTGTTTGTTTCTTTTTTCGTCCTTCTAAATTAAAACAACGTCTTCTCTTCCCGTGATTTTCTCCTCTTTGTTGCAACAGACAACCTTCAGAGCGCCTTTCTCCAAAGAGAGGTCTCGGAGGCACTGGGTTTCAGTATGGTGCAAAACGGCATGCTTTGGCTGGAACACACTCCCGCTACTCTGCTCTGGGACAGTTCAACCGAGAGACTGGCCGGGAGACGGCATTTGTCTTTTCTTCTTTAGAAAAAAAAACAAAAAAAAAAATAAAAACAAAGCAAAGAAAGAAAAGGAAAAAACTAAATCGTTTAACCCTCTGCTGCTCGATCTGCTCTAGATGTGTCTCTTCATGTGAAGAGCCAGATGGTCAGACCTGGAGAAACATCTGGGGACAGAAAGGGAGAGGGGAGGGCTGGGAGTCAGACACTGAACGTATATGGACAGTACATACAGATAAGAAAATATCAAATCACGCTGTAAATTCTCACATTTAGCTGAAAAAGGTGGAGCAAAACTAAATGTCTACTACAAACATTACGTCAGAACGCCAGGGCTACGTCACGTAAACACATTCCTAACCTGATGAGTCAGCTAAAAATTCCGTCTGATGCTGGTATTTCGGACGTGATGATTGATACATTTTTTTTCTGCACACAGCCTCATTATTTGAAGAGAGCTATTTGTTCAGCAGTGAAAAGCAATGGGTGGTGCCTGTGTTGCGTAACACGTGAGACATTTCTGTGTGCAATTAAATACGAGCCTCTGCATACGAGAGGCCGGCCACGTGGTCAGCTCGCAGTGACTGACTTACCTGTCACAGTGACTGCATTTAAATGGCTTTGCCCCAGTGTGCTTCCTGAAGTGTCTGGTCAACTCATCGCTCCGTGCAAAACGCCATTCGCAGCCCTCCCATGAACACCTGTAGGGTTTTTCACCTGTAATGTGACAAAAGGGAAGAGTGAGTGGTGGGCTTAGAAACACACACACACACACAGACAGAAGAAAGCACCATCCCTCTGCAAGCCGGTGATTGGTCAGGCCCCACGTTGTTGTCATTTAAATAAATTCAAATCAATCTCCCCTGAGGCCGGACCACATGACACGGGTTGGGACTGACGGGTCAGTCAAGACGCAGTTTCCGTCCAACCTGTCGGCCCACAAGGTCTGTTTCTGAAATATGCCTGGAATGCAAACAGCGACGCAAGCGCGGCCGAATGTACGCCGGATTCACATGCGAGCGTACGACTCAACGGGCCGCATGAGGGACTGATACAAAAGCCCCGGATATAAAAAAAGCAACACTCAAGTGACCATTCAGAGGCCTCCCACTCTGCCCCCCCCCTCGATATCCCCCCACCCCAACTATTCACCCCATTCCCATGGTGAAACTCAATCTGTTTTGAAGTCCTTTTATCTGCCATGCCCAACCCCTCCCCCTCCGTCTCTCTCTCTCTCTCTACCATGCCTTCCTCACTCGCTCGCTCACTCACTGGCTGGCTGGCTCAGTGAGTCACATTCCTGAAAGATTAGGTCACAGTTTAGGTATCCAGCCATGCAGTGCTAATAGGCACAACCCTCCAGCTGAGGACACAGCGCACTGTGGACTTTTAATTACATTACACAATGCATTTACATTGAAAGATCAAGTTCACCAGCCTCCCACGTTAACATCAACAAAAGCTCTGGTGGTATATCTTTACATAAAAAAATAAACCCATAAAAGCTAACAGATAAGGAGAGCACTCCACTTCCTCAACAGTTTTCATTTTCACATTTGGCCAAAGAGCCGGTGGCGCCAGCGGTTGAACTCACCTGTATGAGTGCGCTGGTGTGCTTTAAGGTGGGAGCTCTTCGTGTAAACCTTGCGACACCCGTTGAAGTGACACCTGTGTACTCGCCTCCTGCCGTCCGGCGATGACTCCCCGCAGACGAGTCCCGTCTTGTCCGCGCTCTTTGCCACGCCGCCGTTTCGGATTTTGACGGGCAAGTGCAACTCCCCGTGAGTGGCGACCCAGCCGTTCGTCACGGTGCCGGTTTCCAAGTTGGCCTCCGGCGAGGACGGGGGAGTGCTAATGATAGAGGGGCTAAAAGGTCCAGAACCAACCAAGACAGAGCCCAAAGGGTTGGAGGTAAAGCTGTGTGTGGGCGAGAGCTCCTCAGAACTGTCTGAGGCCTCACTGCTGGCGTCTGAATTCACACTGTTGGTGTCCAAGATTTGGCTGTCCTGATTGTCCTCGTCGTGGGCCGGAGGCAGCTTTGGGTCGGATTCAGCCTTGGCCTTATCCCCGCAAGCCAAGATCAGCTTGCTCCAGAGGTCGTCCTGGCCATCGAACTTGAGTTCAGACGTGGAGACGTAAGGCTCACTCTGCAAGTAGCGCTCCAACTCCAAACAAGTCTGGTTGGAACAAAACATTACGTAAGAACCAATGAACCAATGAAAAGGGAAGTCTCACTGTCAGCTGAAGAAAACCTCTTGTACAAGTTGACCTCTGGGTCAAATTTGCTCATTTACAAACAGCAACTATCCAGTACTTTGTCAACTTCTGGTAAAGTAAATGACTCACGTAGTGTCTTCAAGCACACATTTTGAACTTTGGAAAAAAAAAATGAAGATAATGCTCCAGGGTTTCCATCATTACGATTGAACTGTTAACCTTGTTTTTATTGGCTGCCGCTCTTTGAGCTGTACAAAGAAATCTCACATGCAACAAATGTAGGTTCTTTATCAGTTACTCTGTCTTGTAGCTACAAGCTCCACGTTCAAGCGATGCAACATAATCACTCTGGCCCTCTAACTTCAACTCCACTGCACCTGAGTGCAGGCATACACTAAGCCTGCATTGTCATTTCAGCACTCCACCAATTTGAGAGTCCTTTTAAGGAAGCCGCTCCACTTCCTCCTGCCCTGAGAGCCATTCAAGCTGCTTCTCCTCATTGCGTACCTCTGTCATGCAATCACATCCTCTCCCTCTCTCTCTCTCTCTCGATGTCAGCCACTCAACAATAAAAAGATACACTGGCTCCACTCCACTTCAGAGGCCGTTAAACTTAAAAGGAAGAAGCCTGTTCATTAGAAAAACTGCTTGGACACAGCAGCTCCGAGGAGGAGGCAGATGTGGAATACATATTTCCTCCTGGGCTCTGTGCAGCAGAACAGTGTTTTCCAGCTGTGCTCATTCTGGCTACTCATGCGTGGAGGACTTGGCCCTGGCCCATTCAAATCAACAAAATGATGCAGAGTGCTGTTTTCACTAACTTAAATGCACATAGTAGCGCAGAGGAGAACGTGTCGAAGTCAAAGTTGTACATGTAAGAAGTGCAACCGGGGCCAAAACGGACGGGGGAAAAATAAAAGAAATGCTATGATTTCTGGAGCTCACAGCATCCGAGTTTGAAGTCAGTGATTTGAAAAGTCTACTTCCTGCTACAGCCTGGCGCTGATGTGCGGAAAGAACCGAGAGAGCGCATGCTAGAATACAGCAGCATGCAGCCTCTCTCACTTTCTGCCTCTCTCTCTCTCACACACACACACTCTCTGTCTCTCTCTCTCTCTCTCTCGCTCCATTCATCTTGGTGCAGCAGAGGCTCGACTCCAGCTGTCAGACTGACACACGGATCCACTTCAGCCTGCCAAAAACTTCATAAAGCACGCTGATAATCATGCCACTGAGTGTCAGGTGAGAGGATACACTCTGGACGCTCTATTACTGTTACACGAATGTAATCGTGTAACAGTAAGTAGGATAAAATACGAGAAAAGGAGGGAGGAAAGGGGGGTGGGGGGTCTTCAGTATGAGAGCAAAATAAGCATGAAACCCGCTCAGTTCCGCTTTGCTGCACAAGCTTAACCTGTGACTTGGAGCGCAAACAGCTGAGGGTGAACGCACACAGACGCACGCAAAAACATGTACGCACAATCTCACGCGGGCACACACTCATATTCACCTGCTGCCAGTATTCCTCCAGTGACGGTAAGGCTGAGAAATAGCCCGTGTCGTGAACTATCTGAAGTTCTTGAAAGATGCTGCACATGGGTAGAACATCCATTTTGCCCAGCAGTGTCGGCTGTTTAAAAAGACTATTTTAGCTGCACTTGATTATTATTATTATTATTATTTCTGTCAGGTAAGAAAGCGCTCCGGCTGGAAGGAATAAGACCGATCCTCCTGCGATGCGGACGAACAAGCGTCTGTGTTGAGCAGCAGCAGCAGCAGCAGGAGACGAGTCTTTCGTCCGTGTCCGTCAGTGCCCCCTCCTCCTCCTTTTCTCCTTCTTCTCCTCTCGCTCTCAGTATTTGCAAACACCGTCACAGGACTGGATGGGGAACAACTGCGCTCTGCAAACTTCCCTATTCAAACCTCCAGGCCCCGCCCCCCTCTGCTTCCTCACGGCAGTTTTACGCCTGCGAGGCCCGAGCCAATCAGCGCAGAGCAACGTAAGGGATTGCAAATGATATCACAGTGCACCAATGGCAGCCGAGCTCCGACCTAATTTGGTTCCTTCCACGTTGTCATTGGTTCGTTCAGCTCCCAGTGGCTCGCCGCTGATTGGCTGGTTATTTATAGCCTTGTATATAAACTGCTGGTGTGCACAGCTCCACTGTCTGTTTCTCTGGGCTCTAGGTTTGACCACAGGCAGCGCCTGTGAGCCGACAACTGACTCACACTGCTCTTGTATGTGGAAAACATGGGAGACAGTCCTGTGATACTCCATGAAGAAAAAAAATTCTAAACAAAATTTGATATGATGTGAACAATGGACAATGTTCAGAAAGGTAACAAAGAATTGTAACAAAAATAATATTGGGTGTGAAGTGAATGCTAAATTGGTCACAGGTGTGAATGAGTGTGAATGGCCGTCACCCTTATGTGGCAAGTCACTGAACTGACCTAGGATTGACTTCAGCTCAACAAGCACAACTGATTAGGGAAAAGTGGTGGAATTTGAATGAATAAAGGAAGACATTAATGGAACTTCTTACTTGACATACCAATATTTATATTATTTTATTAAAGTATTCCTGATGACTAAATGTTATGTGCAACTTTAGCATTTTTTTTATCAAGTTGGAAAGTACTGTGTTTCTGACAAAAGTCTGCAATAAAAAGGTAAAAACTAAGAATTCTATTATGAGAGATACTGGGTTCAAAACCCAACCTGTTAACATATCTTTTAATTCACAGCTGATACTGGGGTTGTTGCTGATAAGAAGCAGTCAGGAAGTACACGTTGGCAGCTGTATTTGTGTCTAGCAGGGTCTCTCTGATACTGCCAATCCAAGCTAGAAAGGCTACCTCAATATATATATATATAAAACAAACACAAGACCAAGCCAGCAGTGTTTTCTAAAAGAATCGAAAAGAGTTAAAAGCCCTTTTTTTTCAGACGTTGGCGCAAAAAGAAAAGTAATATAGAGCCAAGTCAGACGATTAAGTGCTTTTTAAGCAATTAATAGTCGGTCTGGTTCAGAGCCCAATTTTAATCCGTCTAACACTACAATGTTGTTCCAGTAATTCAAATGTTTTGTTTTTCCTTCAGATGTCTAAAGCTCTAACAGAAACAGCAAAAAAAAAGGTTCAGCCAAGAGAATGAAACCTTAGTAACAACCACAGTGAAAGTCCTTCTATCTTTATTTCATGACTGCAGTTCAAGCGAATGAGTTCACTAAGAGCTGGAAGTAGTTGACATCAGCCACTGAAAGTTCCCCTTAGCGAGGGCCTGCACATGATGACTAATGCTCAGCTGAGATGCTAATGTATCACATGAGTGAATGGAAACCTTAGTTACCTTTCCTCTAATGTGGACTCCTGCCTTGTTACTCACAGGCTCAATGTTAGATTTCATAACTTTACCACTAAATTTGCATTTTATATATGTTCTAATATATGAAAACAAGCTATGAGCTAAATATTTAATAGGAGCTAACAAATTGTGCTATTGCAGCAGCTGCTTAGACCTGGTGGTAAACATGTGTTTTTCATTGTAGATAAAGCGGTCACTAAAAATGAGTAAAGGCTTGAAGAGGAACCGGAACACTGTAAAAAGAACTCTTAATTGTTAGGTGTCAAAAGCAGGATAATAAATCCAGATTTTTAGAGCGTTTATTGGATAAGTGTATACAGTTTATCAAAAGCAGGATAATAAATCCAGATTTAAATCCAGAACAAACTGAAACAAACTATTATTTACTTCTTCATAATAGGACTAGGACTTAGTTACTTTTTTTCTGATTCTGCACTAAAACAAATTAAATAAAACAACAGTGAAACTCTTGTTAATTAAGTGAATTTTATTTTTTAATTTTTGTAAATAATTACATAACATCCTTTTTTTTATAACAGGCAATATTTCCATTTAGTGTTTTGAATTGGCTCAGTAAGTGCCTTAACAATGATATAAATGAGCTTTATAATTAGAAAAAACACTAAGTAAACAAAGTAAATTCTGCATTTATGACAGAGTTAGGGGATGTTAAGTATTATATATTTTTTTTTCCCCTGAGTTTTAAGTGTAAATCAGAATGCAAGATAAGAGCTAGAGCTAGGGTTTACAGATCCACGGATGTCCATCAAAGTAAAAAGCCAACCCACCAAGGACTAGTTAAACTACATTAACTGTTTCTCTGTTTCCTGACCATACTCAGCTGTGTTGCTTTATGAATGGCCCTCCATTCTAGCAGCATACCATCATAGATCCGGAAGTGGCCTGATGTCACTGACTTATTCTTATCATTTCCTCTTTAAAAAAGTGCTCGCGTGCCACAATCGCATCTCTCTCTGCAGCTCTTGCATAAGTTCAGAGCATTAAGTCTCACCACAACCTGGTACACCATGGCCTGATGTGATAAACAACACGTCTACACAGGGGTTGCATTGTCTCCCTAGTGGCAGTATTTTTGTGTTACCATTCCTGGTAGACAACTGAGTGTCCTTTGTGCTGCTTTCAGCTGCGAGGCCATATTTGTCACCCATAGCATCTGATTTAGTCATATGGCGATGGGATGTCTTGTGAAGCCCGGAGCTGGCCTCTGTAGCCCTGCAGAGGAATTCTCTTTGCTTTTATGTTAGTAATGGGGCTATTCATTACGTCCCCCCTGAACTCGGTGGACACTTAGCTTTGAAGAGTAAAAAAGTCAGCACGTCCACGTCCATTTCGAAAGAGCAGCAAAAAAAAAACAACCAAAAAACGAGTTTGTCACTGTATGAAATGTAACATAATACATGGGTTATCATAGCACGGTAATCTGCGCGGTCATCATTCACGCATTTACAAAGTTGCCAAGGCTCGCACTGTGTGTTTTTGATGAATAACAGTGTGTAGTGAAGGGTCCCACTGGAGCATTAGTGGGCAGCGCTGCCGTAATCGTTTCCTCCAGAGGGTCTCTCAGATGAAGCATTTAGAGAATGCCCAAGGTCCTGCATGGCAGCTTTTATCTTGGAAGGCCAGGTCTGCAGCTTTATCATCGTTATGTAATCCCAGCCCAGTCAGTAGCCACAGGAAAGAGCAATTACAGGACGACCCATTTTAATGCATCATTGTCAACCCAATCATTAAGTTGTTCTTCGGGTGTTTTCTGCCTAATTTGAGTTTGTGTGTAACCACTCTTGTTTTGTTTTTCAGAATGTGTTCGGGGAAACAGAAGGCTGTTCCTGAGTGTTTCACCTCCAAAGTCCGAAGCTCACTCTCTGTCCTACAGGGGGAGATGCCAAGAGCGTGCAGATGAACTGATTGGTCCATTGATCAAGGTGATTGACAAATAATTATTCTTCAATTATTTTTCCCATCGATGACTTGTTCGTCATTGTCAAGCTGAGACTCTGTGGTCTGACTTTGTCATATTTTTTTTGCTAAAGAAAATCATTGGACAACGCTTTGGCAGGAACTGTTGTGTCCCTGAATCAATATGTTTTTGTTTTTTTCTTGTACTGAAGTGTAATAACTGATTAAGTTATGATATGGTTAACTTTGAAATATTTAGGATGTGGGCTTGATGTCCTTTATTAAAAATAATAAGCTTTTCAAAAATGGACATCATACTTCAGGTGACCCTTTCCCACTTGTTTTGACCCTCACAACTATATTCGCAGCTTAAGAGGTTAATATATGATTCAAGATAAAACAGTATATTCCCACTTGTTTTGACCCTCACAACTAAAGATTTACAGCTTATGGTTAATAGAGGTTAATATATGATTCAAGATAGAACAGTATTATGAGTTTTCAAAAATTAGAAAAAAATCTTTTGTGATGGTGAGTTACAAATGGAGTCTACAATACCACTGGGTACAATCTAAAACCAACTGTATATTGTTAGTATGTTTTATTTTTTTTAAATCAAATTTACCATGAATTAATGTAAGGCCACACACTGTAGAAACCCATTGGACATGCCCAGAAATAAACAGCCCCTCATTATTTCCCTGGCTACCATCAAAAGGCCAGTTAGTAATGAGGTGGTGCACAATTGATAGAGATGCATTGCTGTGCACGGGGGGCCACTGAAAATTTGTTCAAGCTTAAATAAAATGAAAATAAAAATAATTGATTGGAAATCAATGCACATACATCATTCACTCTTTTGTTAAAAGGAAAAATGGAAGGGCACGCGGGCGAGGAGGAGGAGGAGGGGGCCCTCCTGGAAAAAAAAAAAAATCGATATTCATTCGAATCATAAATCAGAATTGAGTCAGCGCGTGTGGGGAGGGGAGATAATCATTGGCCTGGTTTTGGATTACATACTCTAAACGGCTGAGCCTTGTTGAGCCTGCAAATGTGTTTAGCAGTGATTTAGATCCTCTCATTGAAATGCACTGACGGTACGCCGTGATGACTGCCTCTTATGTTGCTGTCAGGCCACGTCTGGGCACAGATCAACATGTGTGTCATGATGTCAGCTCCATCAGACCGTCAGCAAGGAGCCCCCGCTTCCCAGCAGCCCCTGACCTTGAGGATAAAGTGTAAGGGGGGAGGGAG